CTCCCACCCAGGCCGGCTCTGGGGGCACAGGGGCGGGACCAGGCCATCGATGTCAGCGAAGGGGCCTTCGAGGGCCACTGGTGGGTCTGGGGTCGGATCCCCCCACATCGCCAGCCCTGGGATCCCGTCTCCCGTCCGCCCTCTTTGGGGTGCCCACCTGTCCGAGGGACAGCTCCCAGCCCCTTCCTGGCCCCCCAGGGCCCCAGGAGCTGTGCGTGGTGTTGGGAGAGAGGCCGGCGTTTAAGCCCAAGGTCAGGCTCCTCCAGTGCGCGCGCCGGGTCCTGGCCTGTCTGTAAGGAGCACGAGGCCAGCTGCGCAGAGGGGGACGCGGGAGCGGGTTGTTTCAGAGGACGCTGACGATTTGAAAGGTTTTTTAAAAATATTTTTTTATTGACTTCAGAGAGGAAGGGAGAGGGAGAGGGAGAGAAACATCAGTGATGAGAGAGAATCACTGATCGGCTGCCTCCTGCAGGCCTCACACTGGGGATCGAGCCCGCAACCCGGGCCTGTGCCAACCAGGAATCGAACCGTGACCTCCTGGTCCCTAGGTGGACGCTCAGGCCCTGAGCCGCGCGAGTCGGGCTGAGACGGTTTTGTGATGTCAAGCAGGCAGGGAGGAGGTGGTCGGTGCCATTCTGCAGGGATGGGCCGCCCCTGACCCCCAGCCCGGGCAGGCGCTGACCCCCAGCCTGCCCATCCCCCAAGCCAACTGAGCTCCCAGCCCCAGGTGCCCGGGCACTTCCTGCCGCCCCGGGAGGAGGGAGAGGACCAGAGGGAGCCTCGCCCGCCTGGGAGTGGCCTGGGGGCTGGGCCTGCCTCTGAGTCAGGGCCCTGTGTCCCTGGGTGTCCCCGCTGTGGACCTTCCCCCCCTCCCAGAGCAGAGCCGAGGGCAGGAGGGGAGCAGCTCCCAGCGAGGGGACAGAGAGGGGCTGAGGAAGCAGAGCTGGGGGCCAGGGGACACTGGAGGGGCCTTCACAGGACCACGGGGTCCCCAGACTTGGACCAGGGCCACACCGGGCATTTTCAAATGATAAAAGACGTGTTTTAACGTCACATAA